ATCTACTCGATGCTTATTCATTGCCACCAAAATAGCTAAATTACCTTTTAAACTTTATCCCACGGCGAGGGTCTGTTTGGGATTACAATACTGTTTAAAGTCTTGAGCCTCTCTGCATTTATTTCTGCTGGAAAAATGGAAATTAGGTGCAGCAATTTATTGACCACCTTTATTCTTCAGCACAGCCTGAACTCTCTTAAGCAAACTTTCTTGTAATTTCTTTAAGTAGTCTTCACAAATAGTTCTCCAGGCTTCTTGAAGGACATTCAAAGTTCTTGCTTGGATATTAGCTGCCTTTTGTTTTGTTCTTTGTCAAAATGATCCCATGTTGCGTCAGTAATGGTGAGGTCCAGGCTCTGAGGAGGCCAGTCTGAACCCACTGCCAATCAGGTGCTTTCCAGATACAGATATTGGATGGTGAGACCATTTCTGATGAAGCATCAGTGAACAGTAGATGGATCAGCTGAAGGGTCAGATGCATCTCTCAGGTCCTGTTTCAGGTTTTGACTGGATATTTTCCTATTTCTTAAGGAGATGATGACTTTCATATATAGATAGCTTTTTTTTTTTCTTCCCCTTTGTCCTCCACTTTTTCAGGTTCCTCAAATTTTTTTAAAGACACACTGCACACTATGCTGAGATACACTGAGCTTTTAGCTAATAGCTCTCTGGGGATCACCCTGTAGGTGCAAAACTACTGTTGATGAACAAATTGTGTTTTTGAAACTGGATGTTAGTAACAAAGAGTCTAAATGGTCTCTGTCCATTTCTTCTGTTGATTAAGACCACTTTGAAATATTACCACAAAATCTGTCTCTTTGCAAGCACAATAAAAAGAAATGAGAAATGACTCAAGACTTTTACATCATACTGTAGGCAGCTAAGACCTATTGTCTCATCTGGCTTTTTGGTCACGGCTAAAAGACAGAAGTCATTATGTGCAAAAGCCACACTATAGTTCAGTGGAATCAGACATGAAAAGCCCCTGAAACTGTTCACTGTAGCCGTTGCTTGTTCTTCTTCCTCTTTGTGGTAAAACTTGCTGCAGTCGTTATGTTTTCTGTTCAGCCCAACTTTCCAAAGAAGCAGTATTTCTCTTAAGTTTTCGTATAAGCAGCGATCCCTGGGGGGGGTATAATATTAAGCCTACCGATGAGACACCTGAATGACTTCATACCTGTAGGGAAACTGAGACTGGAATGGTTGGAGCTGGCTGATTAACAGCAACTGAACTGCTGAGAATGTCAGCGGTCAATGAAGGATGAAATGTTCCATATTCTGTATGTGGGGCAGATTGTGATGTTTATTTATTTCTTCTTTCAGATGCTGATCGAAGAGAATGAGTGTTTAAAGGTGGAGCTTTCCCGGGCAAAGATGGCGCTGGCTGAGGCTCAGATGGAGAAGGACTCGCTGCTTCACCGACTGAAGAACCTCAAAGTCAGCACCAGCTAGACCGCCACTCTCGAAGACCCTACAAGTCTCGCAAAATAAGAAGGAAAAGAAGATGATTTTTTTTTTTTTAAACTAGAATGGGGGCTCCCTTTTCACGAGCCACCGCGTGACTTCAGACTTATACAAATAAAACAATCCTGAGTCTTTGACGACTCTGAGAAAACGCATTTTTACACACTCGTCATCTGTTTTGTTTTCCACTTTTAATTGCGGACAATTCACACGTTTGCAGCGCTAAGAAGGATAAAAAGCGCACCTGTGTGTGTTTGTGTGAGACAGCAAGAGGATGAGATTTCTAACTTTGGTCGTGCCTACAGAAAACCATTCCCAGAAACCTGCTTTTGTTGTTCAAGTTTCAATTTAAAAAAAAAGCATCCCAGCTTTTCGTCAGTGAGCTTCACTCAGACCTGTAGGCATGGGGAAACGCTGAATGTCGTATCTTCAGAGGAATGTCTTACTTTGCACTGCGCTGAAATTCGATTTGTAATCCAGCGCTTTCATATTCAGAGGGGAGCGACGAATCGTGTTCCTGCTCGTCCTCGCAGCGTGTACAGTGTATATTGTGCAAGAATGGGAACACATAACTATTTTCTACAGAACTTTGAATGATTTTGCAGTGATTCAGTTGAATGAGTGTATGTCTCAGTCAGAACAAGCATTTCTTTACAAGTAAAGTGTGAATTTCCATGGCTTTGACACCAGTCTGTTCCTCCCCGCCCGCACCCATTCCCATTTATTTTATTTTTTTTAATTATGTGTAAATAGCTCCTTAACATGTGCTGCACTTTTAAAACTGAGGCAATGTAAATACAACAATCAGAACTGTGAGAGAAAAGTTGAGCCGACGAGTAGAGACAGTGGAAATAAACATCCACTCTGAGAAAAGAGGAAAATTAGGGCACCGTAAAGCTGCCTGATTACTTAAGTGTGTGTGCGTGTGTGTGTGTCTTTATGTGAATTTTCTAATCTGCCATCTAATGTAATTTTATTTTATTTTATTTTCCGTGGACGCACAAAGACTATCTGTTCATGTGCCCATGCCTCACGCTTGTGCGGCTACTTTAGGGGGAGTGACTTTTCTAAGAGCGCATGCTTCGGCACAGCACAAAAGGATAGTTTTTGGCGTCTGTGGATTCGGAACATTAAATCGTCTGAAGGTGCATTTATTCATTTCAGGATGTTTTTTTTTTTTTCTTTTTAATTTAAAACAATGTTTTGATTTGTTTGGTTTCCTGAAACACAGCTAGTTGCCTCCACGAATGAGCGATTCAGACTTGAAATGAGATTTTTAACAGAGCTGTCTTCTTAAAGAGGAATGTTTTACTTTACGTCTGCTTTATTTTGGCCCATTTTTCCTAGACTTTTTTTTTTTTTTTTTTGGTGGGGGGGGGAAAAAAAACTATCTTAAAAAAAGAAAAAAGAAAAAATACACACGTAATAAGTAAGTTGTATTTTTGTCTGTCAAAGCTGCTGAAATACTCACAATAATAAAAGGTATCCGACTGAAAAGGTTTCACTTTTTCTAAGTGTCGGGTGTGAAGTTCTTTGCAGACATCTTTCTCGGCTCATTATGAGACTTCCCGTGCCTACGTCTAAAGCTCATTACTTAAAAATGTGAAACACAAACTGCCATGAACAAACAAAACACACTGACGTTGTTCTTCGGTCTGTGAGCATTTGTTTTGGAAAAAGACAAAAACGCTGAGCTATGTTTTAAAATGTTTTTATAATGGTGAATATGTTGATCTAAAATATTAAGATCAACATATTCACCATTACCTCATTGCTTATTAGTTGCCTATTCATTCTTTATTAAACTCACTATCAATCCCATATTAATTGCTTACTCTATTTGGCCATTAAATAAGAGTTTTCTTTCATAGAATACAATGTTACCATGCTTTGCTCCGTCTGGGCCTTTTAAGGTGGAGGAACTGTGAGAGTAGATATTTCCTTTAATAGCGCTTAAAAAAAAAAAAACGCAGCCTATTTTTATGCAACTAAACTACAAGCATTAAGAACTCCAATTTCAGTCTCTATGACTGTTTCTGGCTCGATGGTGAAGTTTGTATTTAGTTAATGGCCCAGAGGGTGTGCATAGAGCATGATTATGCTTAGTAGGGCATTATAATTGTATGACAACTACGTAATAAACAAATAGAAAATGAGCGCCATAGCACAAAGTTTTACCAAACGTTAACTCCGACTCTTTAACACTGCATTAACCTAGCACTGTTACAGTATGATAGTTTGAATCCAGCAGGGGCAGAAAGATGTTTATATGTACGCCTCTTTGTCTTATCCCTTGTCAAATAATTGTCGTCTTCAGCTTCAGACTATTATGAGGCTCCCTCTTTAGCTACCAAACTTTAAAAGCTGGGCTTTAATCACTGTTGGCTAATAAGAGAAAAACCACATTGGCTGATTTAATACTGGAGCTTTATAGTTTCTTTGCTTTCCTGTGAAAACCTAAGAAACTGTCTTTCTAAAATGGGCAGTTTCTCCTGGTCTTTTAGTGCTTCAG